TTTTATCCTCCAGATGCCCAGAAAACTCCTCTGGGTGGCCCTGTAGGTAGGTCACCAGGCCCACTTTTCCCAGAAGAGATCAGGTGATCTTAAACAGGGCAGCTGGGCAGCATTCTGCGGATGCAATAAGATCAGAGAAATGTCAATGTTTCGCCACTCTTACCGTCACAAGGTAGGCCTTAATAGAGGCTCTAGCCTGTGTTTGGTCGGATTTAATTTCCCATTCTCCCCCTATAGTTAAAAAGAAGGCTGTCCTAAAACATTTCATTTAATTGCATAACGTGTGACTTTAAGAGTAGCTTCAAATAATATGAGAGTTGTAACCACCGTTTTTCCCCCATTCCAAATTAAATTTAAAACCAAATTAAAACAAATCAACAAAGAGGCCCAGAACTCAAAATCTCACTGAGAGTAGATTTCCCTTTGCATCAGATTTCTAGATCTGTGGAATCTAGATCAGCTCCCATTTCCCTGTAAGACTGTTTTCCCAATCCAGACTCAGCCGTGGTATGCATTCATCAAAGGAGGGAAACTGGAGTTCCTGCACCCCAAGGCATGACATGAACTAAGGCCTGAAAGCAGAGTCTTTCCATAGCTGCACAGCATTATGGAACACCCTGCCCTTGAGGTGTGAGTGGGTGCTACTTTGCTGTCATTTCAGAGAGCAATAACAGCTGTTTTGTTTCAGTGAGCCATTGCAATTTAATGGTGCTGGTTGGATTCTGTGTGTTGTTTCATTGATTTTACATTATATTTTCATTGGGTTAGATTGGAAGGGTTTATGTTTGTAATGTGGATTGGATTTTATTGGTTTAGTCGGCTTATATTTTAACAGGTCATTTTATGGTTCTAAATGCCCGAGTTCTGATATATGGGTGGTATAAATATGTATGTAATAAATCTATCAAAAAATTGGTCCTATGGGTCCCTCTCTCTGTAGCATAACAGAAAAAACAAAAGCATTTCCTACGCCACATCTAATGGACTTTGCATTATCTTTTTTTAATGTTTTTTTTAAAATCTATTTGTTGTTTTATTTAATTGTTGTACACTGCCCAGAGTTGCTTTGTGTGAGATAGGTGGCTGTATAAACGTGACAAACAAACAAAGAAACAAATAAATAATACAAATTTCATCATCTTGAACCAGGAATGTTCTATCTATCTATCCATCCATGCACCCATCTACCCACCCACCCGGTATAATGGTATGTGGGAATGACCTTGGGAGTCAGGGCAAAGAGACACAACCAAGGGAATGGTCAGATAAAAGGCAGCTGAGCCCGCAGCAGGAATGTGGGTGGGGTAAAAACCTCAGACCCTCCCTAGTTTCTTGGGCTGAAAAGGAGATGGGGGGAGAGATGTACTTTGGACTGGCAAGATTCTGTTAATGTAACCTTACAATAAAGTAGAATTAGCTCATCTGATTGTGTTTCCTGTTTGGTCTACCTCGTAACGTTGATACCTGCCCAGGTGATGTGGTGGATTGCAGCAGAGAGCAAGGCTATCAGGAAGGGGGAGATGCATTCCAGGAAGGGAAAGGAGACAAAAAACAACACAGTCCACAGGGGGAGCATGAGAAGAGTAAGAGGTTCAGGATAGCCACTCCCTAGAATTTCCCAGGGTATATCCACTGGTTGCTGTAGTGTAGATTTAGTCTGGCAAGATTCTGTCTATATGGTGTAAGCAGATAAAGGAACTTAACTCAACTGGACTGTTTCACCATTGTTCTTGGGCTAGGCCTGACAGGTAGTTCCCAATTTACACCGCTCTTCATTCCTGAACTCCTTGTACAAGTCAACTCTTTTTGGTAGATTGGTCACCCGCTTTATCCATGTGGACCACCAGGTTGCCCAGGCACAAAACTCTCAACCACCATTTTGCCCTGTGTGCAGAGAGCCATGCCTTACGTTGTTGTCTAAGGGTGAAGGAGGAGTGAATGGGTTGTTGAGAGGAAGGGGAGGACCAAGAAGGCCTTGATTGGATGGACGTGATGAGGTCTTTAAAAAGAAAGAGGTGAGAACGTTAAAAAGAACCCGTATGGTGTACTGGCTAGTGCCGAGGAGGTCCTGACTCAAATTCACTGTCAGCCACAGAAGCTCCCAGGAGGACTTTAGATCAGTTACAGAAACAATATTGTGGGGAGGAATTGCCATAGTAGAGGAAATTGAGGCAGTGTGGTAGAGCAATTAAGATGTTAGACTAGGACTGAAGAGACTCAGGTTCCAGGCCATCCTTAGCCATGAAAATACATGGGATAACTTGAGGCCAGCCCCGTCTTTCAGCCCAGCCTACTTCACAGGGTTGTTGTGTCAGGGTAAAAGGAAGGGAGATCCCCATATAAACTATGTTAATCTCTTAGAAGAAAGATGGGATACAAATCTAACAAATACATAAAATAAAATAAAATCACAATGCATGGCGTGATATAGGATGTGATGAAAACAAGGATGATTTGTCACAACAGAAAGGTGTGGGGGGATATTATGAAGGGTGTTCAGCTGTTTCCTTTCATTTTCTGCTTTGACTGTCTTCTACTCATTATTCCTTTCTTTCTCTTTCTTCTATTTGAACAACCTTGCCTTCTCCTTGAAAGGAATAGCATGTTGGGTGTGTATATACATGAATCAATGATTCCCATCAGTTATTGCCTCAGTCACAAATCCTGATTTCTGCTTAGCCCAAGATCCATCTAGCTTACACTGCCTGGCAACAGATCTCCATATTTTTCCAGCCTTATCTGGAGATGAGGGGGATTAATTTGGGGTCTTCAGCAGGCAAACTAGAGGCTGTGCAACTGAGGGCAGCCCATCCCATGAAAATATGCTACATTTTCATCTCTGATGCTTTGGTTATTTTGTTTGAAGCTTGTCTAATGGAGTTTGCCCGATTACTTCCTTGACATTTCTGTTGCTTTTTAAAGGGACGAATCTGCTTCTTTGGAATAATCATGTGATTGATTCCAGCCGATCATATAGAGCAGTGTTTCTCAACCTTGGGAACTTTAAGCTGTGTAGACTTCGATTCCCAGAATTCTGGGAGTTGAGGTCCACACAGCTTAAAGTTCCCAAGGTTGAGAAATACTGATATAGAGAAAAAGTGCAACTCTGGAGTCTCTGTGGCTATAAGGCTGCTCCTCAAAGTCTGTGGGGGGGGGGGGGGGTCTTGGATGTAGCCTCCATAGCCCCTCTTAAAATGGTAATTTAAGACTTGGTAGAAACTATTAAATACATGGGGAGTACTCACATCAACTGCATCTGATTGATTTAATGCAATTTACATTAGTTTAAATGTAATTTATGTTAAATTAAAGTTGAATTCAAGCCAATGTACTTTTTGTCCTGGCCCTATCAGCCTGGCTCCTAAACAGTCTTCAACTGCTTTTTAAACCATGGACTCCAGGATAGAACCCAAAAGACACTGGCCCTTTCTCAAAAGTGTTCATCCCTGCCAGGATAATATGGTTGCGTGGGGCCAATCAGATGTATTTGTATTATGATGTCATAAAGTCTAATGAGAGGGAAGGACAAGAGTTCCTAGAATTGCATTGCCCTTACTCTGCGTGGGCTCTAGTTTAGAGGCTGAGCAAATGCAGACAGATCCAGGACTTTGGCACTTATAGCTGGGAAAGATTGAAATCCTGAGTAGATGCTGCCAGTCAATTTAAATATTACCCTTGACTGATTCATGATAAGGCAATTGGTGTGAACTTAATGGGTGAAAATCTTTGCTTTGTTTTGGCACAACTTTTTGGAATACTGTAAGTGGTGCTTAAAGTTTTTTGCAACATGCTTTGCCCATTTCAACTCAGCCTCCAGATGGTGCAAGAATCAGCTACCAGCCTTCCACGTACACAGATAAACTGATCTGACTTCTGGGCAATACAACTGCCAGATCATCCCAAATCAAGCCCCTTTTTCAGTATAATACTCTTAAATGTTTTAATCCCTGAAGATAATCAGTAAATGACTTTTGCTAAGAGATGGGGGTGGCAGGGAATGCATTTATTTTATACAAAACGTTTGTTGCAGTTGCTGTGGTTCGGCTGATGATTGCAAGGCGGGCAATGGAGCTGCAGACTCCCCATTTTGCATGAAATTAGTGGAGAGAAGGTCTTGTAGAAATGGTGATGGTGGAAAAGGAGAAGGAGGGAGAGAGAGAGAGAAAAAAAGATAGGGAAGGAAGAAAAGAGTGAGAGAAAAGGAAGGAAGAGAGGGAAAGAAAAAGGAAGAAAGAAAAGGGAAGGAAGAAAGGAGTGAGTGAGTGAGAGAAAAGGAAGGAAGGAGAGAAAGAGGGAAAGAAAGAAAGAAAAAGAAAAAGAAAGAAAGAAAGAAAGGTGAGACAAAGAAGGAAGAAGAGAGGAAGGAAGGAAGGAAGGAAGGAAGGAAGGAAGGAAGGAAGGAAGGAAGGAAGGAAGGAAGG